CACTAAGCCCCTTGAATTTGGTGTGATATCGGATAACTTCCAGGGTGCAGAGCAGGAGAGTGAGGACAATACCCTCGTGAATTCAGTAGTAGTCGAAGATGACAACGTAAACGAACAGACAACTTTAAATGAGCATGACATGGCAGATCTTGACCTCGATATTGGCCAGCCTGATGGTAATATACATGATGTCATCAAAGCAGCTGAAGTGGCCCAAAAAAGAAAAATTAGTAACCAAATCCCACACCTCATTGACAATAAGCGAAAGCACCTAGAGAAGGCTCTCTCAGCTGCACAGCGAGATAAGCTGTTACTAAACGAGGCAAAAGAGGATTCTACATTTCGCAAAAATTTGGCAGAAGCAACACGGCAGTCGACAGAATCTTTTGCAATTGCATTAAAGGATGTGAGCACTTCCATCATGAATGTTGGAAATGGAATTTCTCGATCTATGGAAATGATGTCACAAGCTATTATGGCTCAGGTAATGTCCAATTCTCAGCCTCAGGGGCCATTTAATCAAAATCTCTTTTACCAACATGGTGAAATGTCACACCCACCCCCAATATTTCAAACCCACAATGGTATGTACCCTCATAACCCACCATGTCCAAGTAATAGCAACATTGAACCAAACAACGAATAAACAGCTTGTTTCTATTTACATCTTACAATTTAGGTAATATAGAGCAGCAGACTGTTGCATATATTTGAGTTTGGAATGTTAAATTGATATTGTTAGGGTTTCTATTAATAACATCTGTTATTCCATATTATGTTGAAGCCTGGTTTTCACTAAACTGAGCATATTCACTAGTGAGGATAGCCAAAACATGAAGTGCAACCATAAGCAAACTTAGCAAAAATATCAAGGACTTACATTCTTTTTGTGCTTGCATCAGTGTTGCACAACTGAGGACAACCTCTTATGCTGTTTATGTTACAGTATATATAAGCTCACCAAAGCCTACGGCTCTTGTGTTATGCTTATGCTTGCGTTGCTTCATTGAAAACTATACAGGCTTTAAATAAACTGGGTTCATGTAACTAAAAAGCACAGCATGAGCACTGTTCTTTTGAAAGTTTTAAAATAAAAGTTATTTAGAAGACAGTGATGAATGTTAACACTGGCTTAACTTGAACTTAATTTAGTGAACATTATGTATATATATTTATTTATATATGTAACATTGTTATTGTTTTTGATTAATAAACATCAAGTTTTCAATCTTAGAGTACCAGATGATCAGGTAAATTATCCCGAATGTAGTTTGTTATTGTTTTGCGAACCACACCACCTTCACTACGATCACCTGAGTACACTGGGTCAACAAGGTGTCGGTTTTGATCTTCATTTTTTTTATACAAATCCATTTGGCATTTAAGAAGATCTTCATCAACATAAGATTTGTTAATTTCGCAATAATTGTGCAAGACACAACATGCATATACAACAACTGGAATTGATTCAATCTTTAAGTCAACTTTTTTTGTAAGAACTGACCACCTTGCTTTCAGTCGACCAAAAGCACATTCTATTGGATTCCTAGCTGCTCTTAGAAGAGTATTAAAAATTACTTCTTCATTTGAAGCACATGTGGCATATTCCTTCATGCAGAATGGAGTCAATGGGTATGCAGGGTCCCCAATTACATAGTTTGGTATTTTTTCTGAGCCTGGGAAAACAGACAGTTGTATCATTGGAATTTGGCCAGAAACTAATTTCTGATTAATAGAGGAATTTGCAAAAACTTTTGCATCATGCACACTTCCTGGCCACCTGCATTCAACATCCATAAATATGCCTCTATAATCACACACAGCCTGTACATTTAATGAATAGAACATTTTGTAGCAAAATTAATCTTGTGGATCCTTTAGTGGTCGAAGGATAGGAACATGTGTTCCATCTATGCATCCAAAGGCCTGTACAATGCCAAATTTTGTCTCGAACTCACAGACCTTTTTCCTCATTTCATTCTCATCTACAGGTAAGTGCAAATACTTCGGCCCAAGTACTTTTGAAATCACATTGGAAACCTCAACTACAACACCAGAAACTGTACAGACAGCTATACCGAAAGCATTTGCTGTCATAATGAGGGAGCCAGTGTCTTTCAAATAGTACAATGTAACAGCCAGTTTCTTTGCACTATCTAGTGCTCTGTAGTTAGGTGAACTGGGATCGGGTGAAATGTAAGGTTTAAGCTCAGTCTCAAGTTCTAGAAACGATTCTTTGGTCATGCGGAAATTCTTCATCCAGAATTCATCAGGTGCTTCGCCATTTATCATCTTTATCCACCATTGATCTGATCTGCTAGGTTTAAACCAACAACTTCTATTACGTCGTCTTAACCTTCGTTGCCTTAGTACCTTTAGCTTTCTCAAGAAATAACTGCGCCGATTTTGAAGCGCTATCAACATCGTATTCTTCTTTTGTTTCTCGTGAATTTTCCACAAGAGAATAAGGCCATATAGTTGCAAAAGAAGGGCAGTAAAAGCTCCAATTTGGGCCGTCACTGAAGCTATTAATGCAACAATTTTGAAACCCGCCATTTTGCATTTAACTTTCCCGCGAAAATTTGTATTTGTTTTCACAAGTCAGCCCGCCCCAAAAGTTTCATGTAAACGCGTGGTGAAATTCATCTCGGGGAAGCGAGCCAGCTCGGGTACCCGGGCTGGCTCGCTTCCATATAAACAGCCCCTAAGTCAATTTTGTATATTTTATATGCCATTTAGCTGATTAGTGATGTCAGAACTTATTAACCCTTTAAGCTGCAGAGCTTCTCTATTGACAAGCAAAATCGTCTGGCATTAGACAAGTAGACAAAAATGTAGGGCATGCTGGAGTGCTTTGCGGCTTAATGGGTTAACTATAGACATTGTCAGATTTTTTGGTTAAAAACTCATTAAGTTAAGCTGCAGAGCTTCCCTATTGACGAGTAAAATCGTCTGGCATTAGACAAGTTAAAGGGGAAGTCAAGTCCGTAATGTAAACAAACGGTTTGTTTACATTTTGAACTGCTGTATTTTTTAAAATATGATGTACTGTCTGAATATCTAACACCATTTTGGTTCGCTATACTTCTAAATGAGTATGAAATAGAATATATGTTCAGAAAAATTCTAAATTTGGGCAATGTTCACATTAGAGGTCCTCACATTGTTATGAGCAGAACCGATGCGCAGAATGGACTTGACTTCCCCTTTAATAATAAAACAAATGTCAAGTAGGGCGCGCTGGTTGTTGTGCAGTACAGTTGCAACATGCATGCACATACATAGGCTACCTGGATATATTTGGTAGTGATATTAAGTTTCCTTGTAAGATCCTTAATGTTGCATGCATATAGAATATATTCTCATTTTTTGTTTGCAGAGTGATTTTGAAATTCAGCATACTGAGAGAATAAAGGCGTATTCAACACCACTATTGGCAACTGGATCTCTACAAGAGATAAGTTCACTTACCCTCATTGCAGAGGGTATATGGTATAGTTGCCATATTAAGAGGAAGTACTATAATCAGCACTATTACATGCTTATTAGCAGCGTACCGTAAACCTCCGAATATAAGCCCTCCCCCCGAATATAAGCCCCCCCCGTGTATAAGCCCACCACATGTAGTAACGCTCACCTCATTCCAAATATAAGCCCCCCCCCCGAATATAAGCCCACTTGTTTATCAGTTATCACCATTTATTGTTTATCACTATTACCACTTACCACTATTATTCACTATTATTACTATGCATGCTAGTATGCTTAACACTTGTTTATCACTATTACTATACTTGTTTGTCACTATTACACTAACACAAAAGATCGTCCATGTATAAACCCCCCCCCCCCCCATCCCCTCCTTGTATAAGCCCATCAAAAATCGCTTACGGAAAAGTATAAGCCCAGGGCGTATAGTCGGAGGTTTACGGTATTTTGTTCTTAATGCCGAATACCTCAATAGCCTTGGCAATGTTCCTCGAGCATATTCTGCTGGGAAGGATTGGTCAAACTCTGCCAATCGGTGAACTATAGAACACAAGCTAGAACTAAGATTATATGGCGATCGATTGTTGTAACATATTATAATAATGAGAGATTGAGAATGCACAAACAGGCCGGGGTTGCATGGTGATCGCGATCTAATTAATGCTAAGCACTTAAGTGCTTAGCCATGATTTCATGATAATATATAATACTTGACAAAACCATGCAACTCTCTAGCCTGTGTGTCAGTAACAGTGTAGTCAACTGGAACACAGGCTATAGTAACACTATACGTACTACTGTGTACTTACTGTAATTTTAGATGTTACAAAATATATTTTTATATACAGTTCATAATATTGTTTGATTATAGCGTACTTGGATGATTAATTGCCTGCAGAATTATTGTTTAGCTATTTCGTTTTAGCGTATCTTATTCAGTTGACGCAACATCATTTAACCAACGAAAGTGCGCGATGTTTCGTACTCCGACTTTGACTGTTATTTACTGGTTGTTATAACTAAAAAAATTGGCCAAATCAACCAAAATATTATTGGTGAATATCCGTACCATTTGTATTATAGTTAAAACAACCTATATTTATTTGGTTGAAATATGCTCAATTTGACAGTTTAAATTTTAGTCATTTTAACTTTTGAATATAGGTTGGAATTACTTTTTTTAATTGGTCAAAACAACCATAAATCTTTAGTTCAATCAACCAATAATTAATACGTTAAAATGACATATTACAGATTTATAGGTTAAAGTAACCATTTTCGATGGTTTGTTTTAACCTATTTAATTTTAGTTGTTTTAGCCTATTAAAACAACCTATTTCTTATGGGTATAAACCAACCCATTTTTAATGGTTTGTTTTAACCTATTTAATTCTGGTTCTTTTAACCTATTGAAATAACCTATTTTTATCGGGTTGTCCTAGACCAAACCAAATAACCTATTTTTTTTGGTTATTTTAACCTATCAGTTTTTACAGTGCAGTCTTAGGTGGCTCTGGCCTATCGAAATAACTGAAATTTGACCGCAAAGTACACCGTGTCGTACAAAATCGCGCCCTGTCAAATATTACATGCAAAAATGATTAATTTCTCAGCTGCTATTCGATTTTTTAAAACGTTCATATATTGTACAAACTGATTATCTCTTTATTCCACTGGTTATTTAAACCTTTGTGGCTCTTGCCTGGAAACAATCGAAATTTCGCTGCAAGCTGTACGATAAATACATATAAGTTACGATCTCGCGCACTGTAAAAAATGTCATGTCAAATTATTAATTTCTCTGCTGCTATTCTATAAGACTTTTTTAAACTTTCATATGTTATACAGATTTATCGCCTTTTTCCATTGGGTATTTATAACCTTAGGTGGCTCAGGCCTGCATCGAAGGGAAATTCAACCGCAATCTGTACGATATTATCTGCATAATTATCCCCGAGCCGGCGGCGCGAAGCGCCGTGCGAGGGTACTAATTCCCCCCGGCTATTTACACCCGGGGAAACGAAAGCATTAGCGAAGTCTAAAGTTCATCAATGAGCGCGGGCGTCGGTCACCAACGATGGGTGGTCATCCTCACTGATCTCAGAAATATGGCGGACTGTCATGAATAACGGACACTGATTGGTCCAATTTAAAGTTTGCATTATAACGACTGCATGACGACAGCGAAATTAGCAAACATTTCTTGATTTGATGAGTTGATGATTGATAAATTTCTTGCAAATATTGTTCATTTTTGCTCGTATTTCTGCAAGATTTTGTAAATTTCAAGAAAGAAAGGGCGAAAGAATCAGCTAAAAGTAGGGAGCCAACGTTAACGAAGGTAAGTTTGTTTTAAATATTGATTTTATAATGGCTTTAAAACCCGACCGTCTTTGCCTATATGAAACAACTAAACAAGACAGCATATAATTTCAGTGTATCTTTATAATACTGATTCCCTTTTTTATTATATTGATTTTTGTAAATAAAAAATAAAGCAAAGTTATTTGCAAGCGAGAATTTGAAATCATTTTATTGCAAACTCAAAATTTATCGATAAAGCCATTTAATAGTTAAAGGCAATTTAGTTTTATAAAGAACACTTTAAAACGTTTTGTGAATTGTTTGTGGTTGAATTTTACCTTAAATTGAAGCTTGTATTACGTATAATTACATACCTAACATATATATGTTGGGAAATTGATAATTTTGTAATTAAAAGTGATATTTTTAGGCGATTTTCATTTGTAAGAATATTCTTATATTCTTAAAAAATTATCGTGTTACCATGACAACTACTTTAGATACTTCATGTTCGGAAAATACAACGGTTTTGTCAGCAAGGCGAGGGTTTCTGCATGCATGTATTTTCTAGTTATGTTCACGGTGATAGCGCACGCTGTTATTTTATAAAATCTTTTAAAAATTTCACAATTGTACAAACTTGCATCCTCTTAACACGAATTATTTCACCCTAGGTGACTCAGGCCCGGAAACAACCAAATTTTGGCCGCGAAATGTACGGTGTTAGCCATGCATATATAGTATCTTAATTACGCGCTGACAAAAATTACATGTGAGACTGATTAATTTCTCAGCTGCTATTTTATAGAATTATTTGAAACTTTCATATATATTGTACAAACGTATCTCCTCTTTCCCCTGGTTATTTAACTTTATGTGGCACTGGTCTGAAAACAACCGAAATTCGGACGCAACCTGTATGCGGTATTAGGCGTAAGCGAATACGATCTATATAAATTAAGATCGCGCGCGTTGTCAAAAATTTCATGTTAAACTATAAAGTTCTCTGCTGCTATTCTATAGGATAATTTACTGGTTATTAGAGTGATATTTCAAACCGAAAACTAGATAAATGGAACGCCGTAAAGGTTTAATAAAACAGTTTAATAAAATGAACTTTGCCACTTCACGGTTGGCGCGCATGCGCAGTGTACCCATTTTATTATTCACCGGTCAATAATTGTTTCATTGTGGACCGATTGCCCCCTCGCCAAAGCATGCAGTAAATATGATGTTTTGTGGACCGGAACCGTGATACGGTCTGATCAATCGGGAAACAGAAAAATTATATGCCTTAGTATAATTTCCGAGTATTGAATCAATGGCCGTTGAGGCCGACTCGCGAATAAGATCAAATGAAAGTGACAGAAAGAATTAGAGCAGTTTGCAGTTGTTTTTCCAAACCGGGCACACCGGCCATTTGACCCATTTGTCGCGTTTCTCAGTTTGCCAAACTCAAACTAGAACGAACGCGTGCTCCCGCCCGATTTGCGGTTCTGAAAGGTCCCGATTCGCAGGCAAACAGTGCGCGCAAAGCAGGCTGGTCATTTTCCATTGTTTAACTGCCCCACACTCACCCCACACTCAAGTAACAGTGTTGCTTCTCAACATCCGTGAATCAAAAATGGCCTTTAATTTGAGCATTCTGATTGGTTCCGTCAGCCGAGTAACTCTGAGGCAATAGTTACTGTTCAGACTGCTCTGGGGCCGGTAACTATTGCTTTTCCCAAAAATTAGTGGCTAAAAATCCTCAAAATCAATTTGCGAAAATTTCGCAAGAAGAAATAAATAAAATGAAATAAAACTTTTCAATACTGAAATTATACTAAAACAATTAGGCGGCTTGTCAGGCTCGGTGATTACAAGTCTTTATTCACTTCGCCTTCGGCTCAGTGAATAGGCTTTTAGTATAAATTTTGCATATCAAATAAGCTTTTGCGCGTTCTGATTGGCTAGTTGACTAGTAAATCTGAAGCGTTATTTACTACCAAGGAACAGGTGGGAAATTTGTCGTCACTGACCAAAATATCGCGGGCAGAAACAAAGCTCATTGCATTTACATTCAAAACAAAGCAGAAAGTTAGGTAGAAGCTGTTTTAGCTGTCGATTTTTTGCTTTCCATTCAACGATTTACAAATTAACGGTTATTCTTTTAAAAGTCGACTATGAATTCTTTGTTTTGGGATAATTTGTTTTGTAATCGAGTGATTGGAAGAAGTTAATATGGTGATGTGAACATGGGAGTAAATACAGTATACGTCGATCTGTGGCTTGTTCAAAACCGTAATAAACGAAGAAAGATGTGATATGAGAATGAAATGTGAGTTGAAATTAACCTTATATGCCGCAAATTTTCCATCCTACGTTTCTTAATGTAACTTCAGCTGTCTAAGTTCAAAATACAAGGCCGCCCAGAGTGGGGGG